ATTTATGTGCATTTACCCTTCAATAATATAACATTCTATACTAAAATTTATTAAAAATCCTAAAGTAAGTTAACGAAAAATTTCTTCCACAATATAAGCATTTATTTAAAATAAATTCTAAATAAAAGTTATGCTCATCTATGGTGCTACTAGTTATTTTACATCTTAATAATCCTGCAACTTAAATATCTTAAGAATTTATGTTTGCTCTAATATTTTTCATTTACTTTATTTAATAATTTATTATAATTATTATATAGAATAGCGTAGTTTATTTAATATGACCTTTTTTCTTTCAAATTTCATTAAATACATAAGTTTTCTTTTAAATAAATATTTTTATTTTCTCAATTTATCGAATAAAACTTTCATTTTAATTCAAGTATATATATGTATATATTTAATTAATAAATAAACTAAAAAAAATTTAGAGTAATTATCGAAATTCCTTGCTTTCTTCTAAGTTTGATTGGCCTCCCAGGATCTAATGAATGTCGATCTTGAATCGGTATTGTGCTAGGTTCATCTCTTTTGCTTTTTCCTTGTGCACAAGACTGCGCTTGCATCTTGGCTTCGATGCTCTAGCATTGTTACCTCTGCATGACACCCTCGTCTCCTTTGCTCCTCAAGGCCTCGACACTCCCTCTCGCGTTTGACCTACATGCTAAAGTTGTCTCCCACACGGTTCTTGTAACAATCCCGTTTTAGTTACAAGGAGAGGAAATGAAGAATAGGCGGAGAAGAAATGAATAAACAGAAGAGGAAAAGAAGAAGCGAAGAAGACGAAATGAAGGGTTGGGCAGTCGAACATTGGGACAGGATGCAGGGGGGTCAGAAATCAAAGAGGTGATTTCACCTATATAAATCGTAGATCGACTTACCTAGGAGTCGAGAGGCGTGCGAAGGAGAGGAGGATGAAGCAACGTCAGTACTATGCAGAGGAAAAGGAAGTAGGAGGAAGAAGGCTCGTGCGAGAGAGCCGAAGCTGAACTCTGGAGTAGAGGATCACGCTAATGTGTCGAGTTGAGTCGAGTCAAAGAGGAAGACAAAGGAGGAGCTTCCTTGCATGCGTTACACTTCGATCATGCCCTAGCCAAGCGTCAAAGAAGAAGGAAGTTGTGCGAAAGGAAAAGCCGAAGCATTCGAACCGAGCTGAGCCTAGGAAGGAACCTCGTGCTTGAAGAAGAAAAGGAGGGGGTTGACCGAGGTAAGGTTTATATAATATTAAAACGTACTAATAATAATAATTATATTATTATTAATATTATATAAATAAAATATATATATATATATATAGACACACACACACACACATTTCGACAACTGTGGTTTCGCCCCCGACGTCCTTGTTTCCTGTCTGACAGAGCATCTTGTCGGCAGAGATAACATCGACTCTCCATTCCTATGCCACTGCAGTTGCCGGTGGCGGCCTCTCTATTCTTACTCGTGCTCTCCTTTAAGATTCAGAGACTAGTTTTCATATAGGTAAATCTTGCAATGTTCCACAATCATTTCACAAGGCTCTTGAAGATGGTGGGGATCACACTTTCATAAAAAAACTGGGAAAGAAAAATGGGAAGCCTGCTCTTATTCTCACAAAGGTTGAAATCAGCACTCTCGCATCTTCGTGGTGTTTTGCTCTAGTGAGAAAATTTCATTACGGTCACCAAAACTTGAAATCATTCGAAAAGAATTTGATGCTATGAAGTTGTTGGACATTTGGAATATTGGTTTACTTTACACTCGCATTTTTCTCGGAAAGTTATCAAGATCGACAACCATTATATGAAAATTTTGAAGTGGACTGTTGGTTTTGATAAAAAAGCTGAGTCCCCTATCATTCCAGTTTGGATAAAGTTTCTGACTTTAAAATTACATCTGTTCAATTTGGAAATTCTCTACTCCATAGCAACTGCTTACGGTAAGCCCTCAAGGTTGATAGTCCTACGCTTGCTGTCACTAGACCCTTTGTGGCTTGTGTGTTAGTTGAGAGAGATATTACTAAACAACCTCCGGATGAGATATGAATTGGAACCACTCACAACGGGTATTGGCAAAAGGTTGAAATAGAACCACACCCTCTCTATTGCTCTCATTGTAGTTTGGCCACAACTCTACTATTTGTTATCGTTTGCATCCTCTTCTAAGGCCGAAAATAGCTTAAGTTCAACCACTTATTATCCCTGTTGAGAAGATACAACCCTATTCTCTTTTCGACAACGCAGCTTCTGATGAAGAATAACATACTACAGCTACAGATCCAGTTGTGCTTATATCACCCACTGTTATTGAAGAAAGATCACTTACATGCTAAGACACACGAGAGTGCTTCTTTGATCCAATAATAAATCAGTCGGTACAACATGTAGTTGCTTCTAATGTTCAACAACCTGCACATCTCCAGCACACTTTAGACCAAGATCAGGTGAGCCAATCTTCGGAAGAGGAATGACAGGTCTATTCCAGAAGGAAGAAGAAAAATGGAAGCCGACTCCAGCTCGGGAACATATTGGATGATACATTGGTTACTACTGACAATGACAATCATCTTACCAACTTATTAGCTTGCTCCTTCCCTAGAATCAGAGGCAGAGGCAATACCAAATTGGGTCGCTCTCTAGCCACCTAATACTATGTATTTCAACACTTTTAGGTTTTTTCTTCAAGTCTCTAATGTACTTTTTCGTATTTTCTAGTTTCAGAACCACTTGTGGTTATTGTGTGGGCAGGGTGCCATACTTGGGCCCTCCCATACAGTGTATCTGTATTTTTCTTTCTAGTTAATATATTATCCTTTTAGGCTTTCAATATATATATATATATAATAGAAATTATGCGCGATTACATAAAGAAAATCTAACAGTTAAATAATGAAAAGCTACATGAATCATTTGTTACTAAATTTTAGTAGCATTACACCTTATGAATAACGAAATTTAAATAATGAAGTTAAATAATGAATTCACGAAATTTAGTAACGAATGATTCATAAGGTGTAAGCCGCACGTAATAATGAGATTATGGTAATGGACGAAATTCACGAAATTTAAATAATGAAAAGCTACCGATTTCGGCCTTAAATGTTGGATTTACTAAATTTCGTGAATGGATGGATTTAGTAAATCTGGGACGGACGCTTCCTGCAAAAAATAAGACATGAAGTTACCTTTCTCAATGGTTTCGGGTAGAAGAGCGGAAAGCGAAGAAGAATGGGAGTTTTGGGTCACTGTAAGTCGTGTCCCGTCGTTGCGTTTCTAGCTAGCTCTAATTGCGACATTATCGCGAGGGTTTGGTCACGAAGGAGATGGTTTTAAATGAAATAGAGAGGGGGGAGGGAAATGTGAGGGTTTCGGGGAGAGAGGAATGATGTAGGTGAGGGTTTTATTGATTTAATTTTATTTAAGTTAATTTTATTAATTTAATTGACTAATAATTAATAACTGATTAATTATTCTTTTATAAATGTTAAACTTTTTTTAACAATTAATTAATTTAGTAAATATATAATCATTAATTATCTTAATTTGTAATAAAATATTAATTGAATTTAAGAAGCTAGCAGATTTTGGCTATTTTGGAATGTTTTAAAAAGTTAACGGTTCATTGTTAAAGTCTAACGACCATGATAGATTTTTAAATTCTGAAAAAAATTGCCAAATAGTTTCATAGGATTTAACATGATTTACTAAATCATTCGTCAAACAGTTTTAAGATATAACCCTTTCATCATTTACTAAATTCGGATTTACAGGATTTACTCAATCCTATTAACTTAAATCTCATCCGTTGCCATACAACCCTTTAATCTATTTGTATAGACTTCAGATTGATTTAGATAGCAATAATAAAATCTTGCTCAGAGTAATTTTTCTAGGACTTATATGCGTTTACATCTAGATGCATTTCAAAGCAACAAATATAAGATTCATTAATTGACGTGCAATGGCATTGATTTCAATACGAATGTACCAGAAGCAGTGTTGAGCTACTGATGCATCTGAGGTTATATGTAAGCATTCACTCTAATGGAATATAAGCCTTCATTGTTTATGTGAATTAACTTAAAAATCATGCCGGTGGCGTGATGTTCCCCCAATTTTTTATGGATTAACTTAAATGTAGAAACCTATGCAGCTCCTATTGAGGCACCTGACTGTCTTAATGACATTACAAAAAGCCTTCTAATTAAATGGTAATGATCACAACAAGTGGCCTGGCGTGATACACATGGTTGTAGCATAAAATTATTAGACTTAGCACTAATATTCTCGACCCAGGCTTCTTGTCTATTTTGATTGAGGTTACAAAAAGCCTTCTAATTAAATAATGTCAACAAGTGCCCTAACGTGTTCACATGGCTGTAGCATAAAGTTATTAGACTTGGCATTAATATTCTAAACCAAGGCTTCTTGACTATTTTTACTGAGGTTACAAAAAATCTTCTAATTTAATGGTAAGAATCAGAACAAGTGATACACAGTTGTAGCATAAAGTTGTAGACTTGGCACTAATATTATTGTCCAATTCTTCATGACTATTTTGATTGTGCTTTTCACGATAAATTCTTGAAGATACGACAATGGTAAACTTGACAAGATTTCCCACCATCCACCGAATCCATTTCTGCTTTTCCATGACTCGACATAATGCAACATGTATGAATGCCACTTTCATATGTTAGTATTCCTATAAAGTTTAGAGCTACTGCCTTCTCTTGAATTTAGATTGCTTTTTGAATTGATAAGATAATTAATTGTGATACACCTAAGGGCTTGCCAACACATGTTTCGGAAGAAATGATAGAGAAAACCTTGATATTAGGGTGCAATCTATACATATTGACTTGTATCATGTGAAAATTCTTAGTTTCTTAACTTTTTACCTTTCTTGATTCCCACAATATTATTTTTATATTAGCAAGATCGATTTTTATCATATAATTTTTCCTACGCACATTCTCCCCTATTTTCATATATTTCTTATTTTTAATGAACTTGCAGGCGATGTTCCCTTTGATAATTCATTGCTGAGGCAAGCGTCAAGTCTACTAAGAAGGCTGCCAGCCATGGAATCAGAAAAATTTCAGGATGATTTCTTGATGGTGAGTTTTCCTACTTCTGACACATTGAAGTTGTGATTTTAAAGGGAAGTCCAGTGCATAATCACTTGTCCTAATTTATGCTCAAATGATTAACATTGTTGGCTTTTTGAACGCCACTTTTCTCCTTATATTGCAATAGTTGAGCGTGATTTCTCTTTCAGGAATTCAATGACACACTTCTTATAACCTACCTAGCCATGTTTACCAATTGTGCAAGGTATGTCTTATTTCTTTCTTTCTTTAAGTATCTTGAAATCATAAAATGGGGGGATTTACATATATACCACATAGTTCTTATGTATTTTTCTCATGTATTTTTTTTCTAAAACCTTAACTTGAATATTTACTATAATACTCAATTCTCTGAAATCACATAAAAAAAATATCACTAATATTAACTTGTCTAAAGTAAAATATACCTTTTCATGCATATGTTTTGTGTTGATTATGGCAATATATTGTCGCATATGTAAATATCAAATTTTAGATGTTTGATATATAAATACATCAAAATTGTTTGGTACTATGTAAACCCGCTGAAATAAAATTGCAAGTCATGCTGCGACTGTTGTTAATGAAATAATAATAATCATATGTGGAAAGTACGAGGATTCCAGTCTGACATTATATTTTAAGCATATATAATTTTCTGAAGAATGGGTAAGTTGCTTCGACTGTGATTAATAGATCGTAGAATAAGATCTTGAAAACTACATTCTAAAAATGTGGGGTAAGACTATGTAGATCACTCAGACCCATTTTGTTCGCTAAGTTTTAATTTTTATGAATCCTGTATTAAGATTTTGGGGCAGTTACTTGCATACCACAGAATTCTTATGTATTTATATATTTAACATGTAAACTTTCATATTTACGTGCATACCACTCAAATCTTTAATATTACATAGAAAAATATCACCACCACTGTTTCTTTAAAAGCTGAATACACCTTTTCACGCATAGGTATGTGGCACAAAGGTGTTAAAGTGTAAATATCAAACTACAGGTACTATATATGTAAATACATAAAAATTGTGTGGTATGTTTGCAAATTTTCGTTTTTCTTTCTTTTTAAACTGGGTTTTTGTCAATCTGAAACCACAAATAAAACTTCACCACCTCTCAAGTGTGTAAATATGATATTCTTTGATTTCCGCAGCACCATGAACGAACTGGTTGAAAAGTTCAATACCACTTATGATCGGCACAGCAGAAGAGGAGGAAGGGCTTCATTCATTTAATTCAGCAAAATTCTATATACATCATTTTCTTCAAAGCTTGATCACCACATGCACTTTGTAGTTAGAATGTAGAGTGAGATTGGCTTTATTTCCTGGAAGTATGTTAAGCTTTCAGAAAGAAAATATTTTCTCATTTCAGCCAATATCCTTTTTAGGTATGGTAATTTTGCTTTACAATTTCTCTGATTTTTCTCTTATGTTAACAGTTTAAAAAATAGTGCTTTTCTTTTTGTGTTTGTTATTCTCTTTGAAACCTCTTAGGATTGACATCAACTGATCATTTGGATATTAAATGCTTATAGAGAATGCGCTTTTTTTTTTTTTTTTTTCCTTGAAAGAATGGTCGGTGGCTATTATACGAGCCCCCGATCACCCTCATATGCTTAACTATTTGAGGATCGCCCTCACTACCGGCAAACTGGCCAAAGGGGGATTCGAACCCATGACTTGAGGGGACTCACGACCTTCAAAGAGGCTGCTCTACCAACAGGCCACCGCTGACAGCACAAATGCGCTTATGAATTATCCTGACCTTTTGTTTTTGCTTTTTTCACAAAATAATAAAAGTTTATATTTTAAAATTCAGTATATAATTTTACAACTTTGAGGCTGGTAATTTTATTTAGTGAAGCTTTGCCTTGTATTTTGAGACATAAAAAATAGGATTATATATATATA